ATTAATAATGGCAACTGTGATGATATTAATAATATAGATGATAGTGATAATGATTTTGATAATGTTTTTATTATTATTGTTAATATTATTATTATCATTATTAATGACGTTATATATTATTATTATCATTGTCATTATCATCATCATCATCATCATTGTTATTGTTATCATCATTATCATAATAATAATTATTATTGTTGTTATCATTACTATCGCTAGCGTTACCACTATTATTATTATCGTCATAATCATCATCATCATTAGTAACAGTAGTAGTATCATTATTATTATCATTATCATTATGGTGATTTCTATCATTATTATAGTTGTTATTGTAGTGGTGGATTGTTTTACTTCTATTCATAATCATCAAATCAGGTCAATTAAATCAATTTGCATTCGGTAACCAAAGGCAAGCTAAAGATATCGTTGACGAATTACCTTCCCCTTCCCCTTTTCCTATTGCTTTTAATACTTTTATTATGATTGTTACTATGAATCGTTATTCTTTATTATTATTGTTATTTTTATTATTATAATTATTATTATTATATTATATATTATATTACTATTATAATTATTATTAACATTATTATTATTATAATTAAATTATTATTACTATTATTATTATTATTAACATTATTATTATTTTCATAATGATATGAAACACATACTCCTCCCTCCCCCATCTCCTATCCTTTCCTCTCCCTCCCCTCCCCTCCCCCCCCCCCTCCCCACCCTTCCACCGTCTCTCCTATCTCCCCACCCCACCCCCTCCCTCCCACCCACCCCTCTCTTGTAAAGGGCCCGCCAAACATCTTTTATCTTCAGTTCTGCAACAAACACTACAGGGGGATACGTCAGGTCAAAAGAGAGAGGGAGGAGCGGGGAGAGAGAGGGAGGAAGGGAGGGAGAGAGGGAGGAAGAGGGAGAGAGGGGGAGGGAGGGAGAGAGGGGAGGAGGGAGAGGGAGGGAAGGAGGGAATGAGGGAAGGAAGGAGAGATAGGAGACATAAGAGAGAGAAGCAGTCAGACACTCTCCCCACTCCTTCCCATTTTTTCCCTCTCCCACTCCCTCTCTCTCTCTCTCTCTCTTTTACATTCTCTCCCTCTCTCTCCTCTTCTCTTCTCTTCTCTTCCCTCTCCATCTCTCTCTCCCTCTCCCCATCTCCCCTGCTCCCCTCTCCCCCTCCCTCTCTCCCCTTCTCCCCCCCCCTATGCCTCTCTCCCCTCCCCCTCTCCCACTCTCCCACTCTCTCTCTCTCTCTCTCTCTCTATCTCTATCTCTCTGGCAAACATGAGATTTTCCCCGTCGGCCATCGTCTCAAAGAGGTGCGCGGGAGATCGCCTTACTCGTTATGGCCGCCTCTCGACCACTCGGACGTTTCCCACTTGTGTTCCGGGAAGAGAGAGAGGGAGGGAGGGAGGGAGGGAGTGGGAGAGAGGGAGGGAGGGGTGAGAGAGGGAGGGAAGAGGGAGAGGGGAGGGAGAGGGTGAGGGAAGGAGAGGGTGAAGGAGGGAGGGAGGGAGAGGGTGAAGGAGGGAGGAAGGAGAGAGGGGAGGGAGGAGAGAAAGAGAGAGAGAGAGAGAGAGAGAGAGAGAGAGAGAGATTCTTACATTAGTACTACTACTACTGCTATTACTACTACTACTGCTGCTACTACTACTGTTATTACTACTATTACTACAGCTGCTACTACTACTACTGTTATTACTACTACTACTACTGCTACTGCTATTACTACTGCCACTACTACTACTGCTACTACCACTACTACTATTATTGCTACTACCACTACTACTATTATTGCTACTACTTACTACTACTACTACCACTACTACTTTCTTTTGTGGTTTGATTCTCTTCCCTTTTCTTCGTAATCATAGTGAGATTTTTTCCCTTTCTTCTTCTACATAAAGTACTTATGCCCAGACGATGCCTGTGTCTCCGTTATGGAACTGATTGTGTTTCTGATTTGAATAAGTCTTTTGCCTTCGAGCTGTGTCACTTGTTTCGCGTTTTGCCCCTTGTTTATGAATGAATTTATAAATGCTCATTATTATTTTTTTGTATTTATTTATTATTATTATTTTTTTTTTTTTTTTTTTTTTTTTTTGGGGGGGGGGGATGCTTCCTGTGTCGTATTTTCGCTTTTCTTGTTCATTGGTTATAGATTTTTTTAAATTTCTTTGTGAATGTTATTGTTGGTGTTGATCTTATTTGCAGTAGCATTTTCCCATACAGTGCTATTGCTGATATATTTGTTATTACGTGTTACTTTTATTTTTATTATTCTTATAATCCTTTTCAAATCTTGCTCTACTTTTTATGTTATTCTTGGTATCACATTTTCGTAGATAATTTTTCGATGCTTTCAGTTTTGTTATCGTCTCTTTGTCATTATTTTTATTATTATTATTATTATTATTATCATTATCCTGCCGTTAAGTACAACCAACACACTAACACCCAGTTCTTGTTGCAGGTCTCTGGAGGTGAGCCACGAGGGGAAGAACAGCAGAACAGGAGGAAAATAGAACAAGGGGAGGACAGGAGAACAGGAGACCAGAGGAACAAACGTAGAACGACAGAACAGGAGAAAGAACAGGGAGAACAGAAGAACCGGTTCTCGGAGAGGGAGACCAACAGGAAGAAGAAGGAATAACCCCCGGGTGAACCGAAGAACCAGAGGAGAACAGAACCGCCACCATGAAGAACTGCTGGTCGCCCTGGTTCTACTACGACAACGTCAAGAGCGGCAGCAAGGCGTGCGCCGCCACCACCATCTTCTTCAGCGTCTTCTCCATCATCTACATCTGCTACTGCCTCGACGAAGGGGACTCCTCGCAGTTCTTCCTGCCGCTGTTCGAAACCGACGTCGATACCAGTAGGTTGGGGAAGGAGAGGGGTAGGGGTTGTGTGGAGAGGGGGAGAGGGGTAGTGGTGGTGAGGAAGGGGAGGAGGGGTTGTGGTGGAAAGGGGGAGGGGGTTGTGGGGTGGAGACGGGGGAGAGGGGGTAGTGGTGGTAGGAGGAAGGGAGAGGGAGAGAGGGGGTAAAAGTGGTGGTGAGGAAGGGGGAGGGGGGTTGTGGTGGAAGGAAGGGGAGAGGGTTTGTGGTGGAGAGGAAAGGGGGAGGGGGGTTGTGTGGAGAGGGGGTAGTGTGGTTAGGACAGGGGGGGGGGGTAGTGGGTGGTGGAGGAAAGGGGAGAGTAGTGGTGAGAGGGAAAGAGGGGGTAGTGGTGGTGAAGGAAGGGAGAGGGGGTTAGTGGTGGTGACGAAGGGGGAGGGGGTTGTGGTTGAGAGGGGGAGAGGGGGGTAGTGGTGGTGGAGGGAAGGGGGAAGGGAAAGTTTTTGTGGTTGGAGAGCGAGAGAAGTGGTGGTGAGGAAGGGGAGAGGGGGTTGTGGTGGAGGGGGTAGCGGTGGTGAGGAAGGGGAGGGGGGCTTGTGGTGGAGAGGGGGAGAGGGGGTAGTGGTGGTGAGGAAGGGGGAGGATGGGGGGGTTGTGATGGAGAGGGGGTAGTGGGGTAGGGGGAAGGGGGAGGAGGGGGGTAGTGGTGGTGGGAGAAGGGGGCAGGAAGGAGGAGGGGTATGGGGGTGGAGAGGGCAGAGGGGGGGTAGTGGTGGGTGACCGAAGGGGAGGGGGGTTGTGGTGGAGAGGGGGAGAGGGGGTAGTGGTGGTGAGGAAGGGGAGGGGAGTTTGTGGGTGGAGAGAGGAGAGGGGGTAGTGGTGGTGGGAAGGGAGAGGGGTTGTGGTGGAGAGGGGGTATCGGTGGTGGTAAAAGGGGGAGGGGGGGCTTTGTGGGTGGAGAGGGGGAGAGGGGGTTAAGTGGTGGTGAGGAAGGGGAGGGAGGTTGTGGTCGGAGAGGGGAGAGAGGGGGTAGTGTGGTGAGGGAAGGGGAGGGGGTTGTGGTGGAGAGGGGGAGAGGGGGTAGTGGTGGTTGAGTGGTGGAAGGGGGAGGGGGGGTGTGGTAGGGAGGGGGGTTGTGGTGGAGGAGGGAGAGAGGGGTGTAGTGGTGGTGAGGAGGAGGGGAGGGGGGTTGTGGTGGAGAGGGAGAGAGGGGGGTAGTGGTGGTGAGGAGAGGGGGGAGGGGGTTGTGGTGGAGAGGGAGAGAGGGGGAGCTGGTGGTTGAGGAGAGGGGAGGGGGATTGTGGTCGGACATTCTTCCGGCAGGGAGAGAGGGGGTAGCTGGTGCGGTAAGACGGGAAAGGCGCGAGCGGGGGTGTGGTGGAGAGGTGTCGGAGAGATGTAGGTAGTGGGGAGAGGGGGTAGTGGGTTTGGTTGTCGAGGAGAGGGGGAGTGAGGCGTTGTGGTGGGAGAGGCGGGGGTGTGAGAGAGAAAAGACCGAGCGTTTGGAGGTCTAGTGTAGAGGAATGGGGGGAGGGGAGGTGGTGGTGACTGGGCGATGGGTGTAATGGTGCGTTGAATGATGACGTAATGAATAAAAAAAAGAAAATGAAAAAGGATTTTGGAAAGAATAAAAATAAGCGAAAAAGAAAATAATTGAAGAGATGAATGTATGGACGCGGCGGTGGGGTGCGTGTTCAGATCGACGGCGCTCGGAGAGGTCCGAGCATCCGGCGCTTTGAGCGTAGTTAGACGGGCAGATATATTGAGATTAGGATGGTAGTGGCATATGCAGTCGAAGACTGTCACGATGGGAGTACATCACCCTGTAAGTTTATTCCGGATGCTGTTGGCGGTGTAGGGTATATTTCGCGAACAATTTTTGGTGATGATATTAAGTTATTACTGAGGAGAGGAAGATAGGTAAAATGATTATGATGGATAGATATATTGATAACTAATTTAGTATGATATAATGCTTAATCATGAAAATAATAATGGTGAATACAAGTACAGATAATTATAAATTATAGATGCTCAGATGGATGATAATAATGGTAATGATAAGTGGATTATGATATTTGTAGGAATATAGTGGTTTATATGATGCATGAATAGACGATGGCAAGAATGAATTAATAATAATGAGATGTTT